GGTAGCCGCGGCGGCAGCGCTTGTCACCACGCGAGGGCTTTTTGCCGGGAACCGGCTGCCCTCTAGAGGGTCCCCGTTACAGCAACACGGGGCTCTCGGGCTCCCCGTCCCGCCCTGGGGTGGGAACCAGCCCTGCCCGCAGCCCTGCCCAGCACCCCGGCGTGGGCACCGCGCTCCGAGCGAGGTCACATCACATCCCGCCGAGGGGTCACCTCCCCATCGGCTCCGACAAGGCCTGAGGATTTCAGGGTTTGCACCGTGGCACCCGTGTCTGTGTTCTTACCTGCCCTGCTGCTCCGGTTCCACAGGCCCCTGCTGCTCCAGCTTCCCTGTGGATGAAGCAGGAGTCAGTGCTGCATGACAAAACGATGACCTGCCCCAGGTGTATTCACAGCCCTGTTCCAGGCAGGGACACCCAGACCAGCTCCCCATAGTCCCTCTGCCTCCCTCTCCCTGCCGCAGCCAACAGCCAGTCATTTTTTCCATTAGGAAATCCCTTTCTCAGGGGCACATAACTCAGCTGTGAAAATTTCACTCTTGGCTGAAACTTGGCTCAGCAGCAGAGAAGCTGGGAAGGGCTTGGGCTCAGTGGCTACAGGTGTGAAAAGCCCTTTCTACAATGAGCTTTTATGACTTGGGAGAAACGGCTTCGATCCCTGCACCGTGTTTTGCTGTGGGGGCCTCAGAGTGAAGGGGTGGAGGGGGAAAGGCCAAACCAAAGCAACCCACAGGATGCCACTGCACCCCACCTGGGGAGAACACCAACGCAGTGGGAACAGCACTTCTACAGAAAGAGGAATTGTCCCCAGAAAGGGTCAAAAAGAAGTTTACACACCCCCGAGATCCAGAAAAGAGAGAGGCTGGATAAACACATAAGCACTGGCACCATCCCAGTGAAATCCTGATGGAAACAGGTGAGGAAACGCACGGCTGCGCCTGATCGGGTGGAAATTCCCATCCAAAGGGTTTTCCAAGTCTATCACTGCAAACTGCAAAACCATGTGAAACAGCCAAGAAGAACATACTTGTTCCTGCAACAGCAAAAATATCCATCCCAGCATGCCCACGGCTGGCAGGAAAGGGCCCTGAGAACCTGTAACAGCTCCAGCTTTAGGCACTCAGCCCTGCCACTGCACCAAGGGCTGCAGGACTCCCTGGACTCACCACGCTGGAGCAGTTCTGAAAAATCTCAGTAACACTTTTTAATATACAAGAGTCAAAATTACAGCAGTTTTACAATGTAGGAAAATTTAATACATACTATATAAACAACATATTTACATCAGAAATCACTAGGACAGTGGCATTTTTTCACAAATATAAATTAATATTAATTACTGGTTTTAGTCAACAGGTTTAAAAGTCCACATTTTTACAGTAAGAGGAGTTCTCTCCCCAGAGGGGAGATGGAGGTCGGGAGGAAACAGGTGAAAGCAGAATAGTATTTAAACTGTTCACATAAGGATGTCAGAGCACTGCTCAGTTGGGCATCTCACCCCCTGTCCACAGCAGATTTTGGTCTGCAGGACTTTAATCATGTGAATTCACAGCTTTACACCATTTCCAAAGGGGTCAGGCTGAAAAACTCTTTTTAAAAAAAAATAAAAACCCAGCAAGTTGCTACTTTTTCCTGCAAAGAGGCTAGAGGGAATCCTGTAGCTGGTTCAGAAGGAAGAGCTGTACCACCAGATGTTAACAAAAACACTGCAGTGAAGTTTATGGCTGTGGACCTGTCCCCTCTGATCCCACTCACATCCAAGTGACTGAATCTGGTTATGGTCCCTGTTGAGAGGACA